TGTGAGAAAAATTTATATTTCTTCAGCTAAAAAATTTTATTTCTTACCTAAAAAAATTCAAACTTTTTTCTCTCAGTAATTTTCTATTTGAAAAAAAATTTTTTTTTTACAGACAACTTGCAAATTTTCATCAAAAATTTTCCAAATCAAAAAACATTTTTTTTTAATCAAGAAATTTATTGTAAGAAAAATTTATATTTCTTCAGCTAAGAAATAAAATTGTTTAAAATTTCAAACAAATTAATGTTTAATTTTTTCAAAAAGAAATTTTTTTTTTAATATTAATATTTTTATTTAATTTAAAGGCAGAAGCTTAATTCAAAAAGCTGGAGTACAATATATTATTGATAGTGTTGTTGAAGCTTTAAGACGTGATCCTGCTCGAAAGTAATTATTTTATTATTTATTTATAATTATAAAAATAATAACAATAATTAATCATTATTTGTTTATTTATTAATTTTTTTTTTTTATTTATATTTAGATTCATTTATGTCGAGACCGCATTCTTGTGGAAGTGGTGGCAGCGTCAAGATGAAAAAATCAGGCAAGAAGTTAGACAATTCGTGAACGAAGGTCGTTTGGAAATAATCGGCGGAGCATGGAGTATGAACGATGAAGCTACGACTCACTATCAGTCAATCATTGATCACTCAACTTGGGGATTCCGGTAATTTAATAATCTTGTTTAGATAAATCTACAATCTTTTTCAGTCGATTGATTAGTAATTCAATGCCTCAACAATGATTATATTGTATATAATGCTTATATATTTGCTTTATTTAATGATGATAAAATGAATTTAGACGACTCAATGACACGCTTGGTGAATGTGCTCGTCCTAAAATCGGTTGGCAAATCGATCCTTTTGGACATTCAAGAGAACAAGCTTCTTTGTTTGCTCAATTTGGCTTTGATGGAATGTTTATTGGGCGTCTAGATTATCAGGATAAATACAAACGTTTGAAAGATAAAACTGCAGAATTTCTTTGGAAAGCTAGTTCTAGCTTAGGTAATTATTCAATAAAAAATTACATTAATAAAAAAAAAAAAACATGTTTTAAGAAAAAAAGTTTGGACCAAGGATAATTTTTAAGCTCAAAAAAAATTTTTTTTTGAGAAAAAATTTATTTTTTTTAAATGATATTCTTGGTTTAAGATTTTCTTTCTTCAGTCAAGTTATTTAATAATTAATTAATTAATTTAACAAATAATATTGATTTATTTACACGAAAAAAACAAGATGACACTGGATATCATCCCAGATTATATTAAGTGAAAAAAAATTTCAGATAGTAGCTAGTATAATCCAGATTACAATGAGTATCATCCAGATATCACTGAGTATAATCTGGAATGATATCCAGTGTCATCTTGTTATTTTCGTGTAGTTCAAAAAACCTTGTGCAAAAATAATTTTTAATGAAAAATTTTAAGAAGACACTCAAGATTTAAAAAAATTTGAAAAATTTGAATTTTTATTTGTCTATACCATTTTTATTTTCTTTATATTCTTAATTTTCTTAATTTTTAAAACAAAAATTTTGAACTTAATGACATTCATACTATACTAACAAATCACTGAAAAAAATTAAATCTGAAAGCTAAAAATTAAGAGAAAGAATTGAAAACAAAATAACAATTTAAAATTTTGAGCGCTCAAAAAAAAAAAAAAATGATTAACATATTTTTAACATAGATTCGAAGGGAAGATATGAACATTAATTTAGCAAATTTTTTAATTTAGCATTTTTTTAAATAATTTTTTTAAACTAATAAATTACAGTAAAAAAAAATTGACATAGAAATTAAAAAAAATTAAAAATGGAATTTTTTAAAAATAATTTTTGGGAAGAAATTTGTTTGTTAAATAAATTTTTGAATGGTCAAATGACTGCTAACTAATGTATAATTAGTTTATGACATTAGATTTCTAATGTCATAGGGAAGATAAATAATTTTTTCGAGCGATTATAATATTCATAAATCTAAAATAAATTATAATAATTTAGGATTGATTTTAAAAATAATAAAATAACATTTTTTAGGAGAAAAAGCAAACTTATTTTCGGTGGCTCTGTTCAATAACTATTCCCCACCTCCTGGATTTTGTTTTGATGTACTTTGTTCAGATGATCCTCTTATCGACGACCCAGAGAGTCCAGATAACAACATTGAAGCCAGGGTATCTATAGATTTTTATAAATATGCTAGTAATACAAAAATCTCGTATTTTGAATCTCCAAATTGGCATTACGCGGACTAAATATTATTCTAAACTAAAGATGAAGAAATTTTTTTTACTTTTTTTTTTTTTTTAACAGATCAATGTATTTTACAATTATACATTAGACCAAGCAAAGAATTATCGAACGAATAATATTATTATCACAATGGGCGGTGATTTTACTTATCAACAATCGGAAATGTACTTCATGAATCTGGACAAATTAATAAGGTACGCGAAATAAATATTTATATGCGGGAAGAAATTTTCTTTTTTAAATAAAAATTACGAAAAAAATTCATTTATTTTATGGTGTACTTAATAAAATTTACGAAAAACGGTTTATCGTGAATTTATCGGTAATTTTTAAAGAAAATTTCTTTGAGTGTATTCATTATAAAGATAATATAAATAAATAAAAAATGAGATTCGAAACGCGAGATAGTTTTGATGGTTAAATGTACTTTTGAAAAACAAAAAAAAAAAATCTTTTAACAGGTAGCTTTATTTTTGGCGTATTGCCAAGTACAAGCAAAATCTTATAATACGAATAATATTATTCTTACGATGGGCGAAGATTTTAATTACCAGAACGCAAATATGTGGTTTTTAAATTTGGATAAGCTTATTAGGTAAGAAAAATATTTATGAAACAATCAAAAGCTGCCCAGAGTTTAGATTATTTTAGATTTGCATGACTATTGCTTATTAACGAACATTTTTCTGCTAATATAGGATTGAAAAATTACAAAAATTTGTATTTTTAAAATTTTTTATTAAAGAACGGAAGAACAATGAAAAATATAGATTATAAAAAACAATTTTTACTTATAAGTTGGAACTGATTCGCACACGATTTTTTATATAAATATATATATGATATTTCTCATATTTGTGAAATATAAGTATAAAATATATAAAAAAATTCGTATGGGTATTTAAATGAAAGGTTTCAAAAAGTGTAACTCCAAGATGAGCTTATATCGTTAAAAATATCATCAGTGGTCAAAATACAACGTCATTTTTTAATGGTTGCCGTTTTTTAAGATATAAGCTCATCCTGATGTTACGCTCATCGAGACCTTTCATTTGAGTACTCATATGATTTTTTCATATATTTTATATATATGATATTTCTCATATTTGTGAAATATATAAAATATATAAAAAAATTCGTGTGGGTATTCAAATGAAAGGTATTGATGAGTGTAACATCAAGATGAGCTTATATCTTTAAACATGTCATTATTTGACAAGATAAAATGTCATTTCTTAATTATTGAAATTTTTTAAGATATAAGCTCATCCTGATGTTACGCTCTTCGAGACCTTTCATTTGAGTACCCACATGTTTTTTTTTATATATTTTTATATATGATATTTCTTATATTTGTGAAATATATAAAATATATAAAAAAATTCGTGTGGGTATTCAAATGAAAGGTATTGATGAGTGTAACATCAAGATGAGCTTATATCTTTAAACATGTCATTATTTGACAAGATAAAATGTCATTTCTTAATTATTGAAATTTTTTAAGATATAAGCTCATCCTCATGTTATACTCATTGAGACCTTTCATTTGAGTACCCACATGATTTTTTTTATATATTTTATATATATGATATTTCTCATATTTGTGAAATATATAAAATATATAAAAAATCCATGTGGGTATTCAAATGAAAGGTCTCGATGAGTGTAACTCCAGAATGAGCTTATATCGTTCAAAATATCATTAGTAGTCAAACTACATCCTCATTTCTTAATTAGTAACATTTTTGAAGATATAAGCTCATCCTGATTTATTTTCTTTATATATAACTTACAAAACTTATCAAAAATTCCCCAGGTACACAAACAAAATCTACGGCTCAACAGTCAACGTATTCTACTCAACACCTTCATGTTACCTAAAATCCCTCAACGATGCCCAACTTTCCTGGCCGTCAAAATCCGACGACTTTTTCCCCTACAGCAGTGACCCCCACGCATTCTGGACGGGTTTCTTCACATCCCGCCCAACTCTCAAATTCTTCGAACGAATGGGCAACAACTTCCTCCAAATCACCAAGCAGTTATCAGTCCTATCAAACCAAATGGACAGCTCGGGGCTAATCCACTTCAAAGAAGCAATGGGAGTAATGCAGCACCACGACGCTGTAACAGGAACTGAAAAGCAGCACGTAGCTGAAGATTACGCCCGACTTTTATACTCCAGCTTCAACTATGGCACAAAAATAGTTTCCAAAGCAATTTCCAGAATGCTCAAAATCAATCCTCAAGCTCCCGACGCGGAATTCCACTCATGTTTTTTATTAAACATCAGCTCCTGCGTTTTTACCGAATCTTCCGGAAATTTCGTAGTTACCCTCTACAATCCCGCGAGCCAATCTATGTCCAATTACATCCGAGTCCCAGTTAATGGAAACGCGTACAAAGTTAGTGACACTTTTGGTTCTGAAATTGTAACCCAATTGTTGCCAGTTCCGCAATTTGTGCGACAAACTCCGGGAAGAAATAGCAATTCGACGAAAGAACTAGTCTTCTTTGCAGAAATTCCTCCGTTGGGGTATCAATCGTTCTACGTAACTGAATTGACAATTAATGCAGTGGAAGAAATCAAACCTGCATCAGTTTCTGCAATTGAAAACGATTTATACACAGTCAGTGTTAACCAAGCAGGAAATGTTGTTGTAAAATGGAAGAACATGACCTTGCAAGTGATCCAATCGTTCCATTACTACGAAGGAATGAAAGGTAACAATACTGCCTTTGCATATCGCGCATCAGGCGCTTATATCTTCCGTCCGAAAGAATCTAACGTTTATGATATCTCTTACTCTGGAAATTACAAATTCTACACCGGTCCGGTGGTCAATGAGCTTCATTTGACGGTCAACAATTACATTAGCCAGGTTGTTAGGGTTTACAGGGCAGAACAGAAGGTTGAATTTGATTGGGTGGTCGGACCGATTCCAATTGACGACTCGATTGGAAGGGAGATTTTTACTAAGTACAAGAGTAATCTTCAGTCGGATGGTACTTTTTACACGGATAGCAATGGAAGGGAAATGATTAAGAGGAGAAGAAATTACAGACCTACTTGGAATCTTACTTTGGAGGAACCGATTGCCGGGAATTACTATCCGGTGACGGCTAAGATCTATCTGGAGGATGTTAGGGAGAAGATGAGGATCAGTGTTTTGAATGATAGGGCGCAAGGAGGGACCAGTATGGTTGATGGGGAGTTAGAACTGATGTTGCACAGAAGGTTGCTAAATGATGATGCTTTTGGGGTGGGTGAGGCGCTCAATGAAACTGCTTTTGGGTATGGACTGGTGGCTAGAGGTAGTCATTCGCTGATTGGGAGCAGGATTGGAGATTCGGCGGGAGTTGCTTTGAGGGAAAAGACGGAAGCGATTTCGTTAGCGCTGAGGCCTTGGTACTTGTTCACGCCAGTTGGTGGGGTCACTTTTGAACAATGGAAAGGGCGATATTATATGAAGGTGGGTATTGAAGGGTTTTCTGGAAGAAAATTGGGAAGAAAAAAATTGGTTTGAAATTAATGAGCAATTTATTTGGTTAAAATTTTAAATATTTTTATTTTTTAGATGAAGAAATAAATATTTTTTTTAACGAGAAAGTTCGGCTGCCCAATTTCAAAACACAGTAACTAACATTTAAAAATTTTTTTCAATTTTTCTTATTAAAATAAAGTTTGCCCACCAAATTGATGAAAAATTTGATTTGTGAATAGAAAATAGTTAAATATAAATATTTTTAATATAAAATACTTGAAATTCAGGTTTAAATGTTATAAAACATGCAACAATACTAGAAAAAGTCAGGTATAAAAATTTTACAGTTACTGTGTTTTAAAATTGGGCAGCCGAGTTATTGTGAGATTTTTATTTCTTCAGATAAAAAATATCATCAGTAGAGAAAATGCAACATAATTTTTTAGTTATTGACATTTTTCTAGATATAAGCTCATCCTGATGTTACGTTCATCGAGACCTTTCGTTTGAGTACCCACACGATTTTTTCCATATATTTTATATATATATGATATTTCTCATATTTGTGAAATATATAAAATATATGGAAAAATTCGTGGGGGTATTCAAATGAAAGGTCTCGATAAGTGTAACTCCAGGATGAGCTTATATCGTTAAAAATATCATTAGTAGACAAAATACAACGTCATTTCTTAATTATTGACATTTTTCAAGATATAAGCTCATCCTGATGTTCCGCTCGTCGAGACCTTTCATTTAAGTACCCACATCAATTTTTCATATATTTTATATATTTACATAAATGTATATATGAAAAATATATCAAAAATGCATGTGGGTACTCAAATGAAAGCTCTTGATGA